ATCCAGCACCAACATAAATTAGAAACCCAAGTAGTGGAATATAATCGTGCAAAATAGAAGAAACAATTGAACTTGGTAATATTCACTATCAGAATGTTCAGAGATCTATATTCACGAGAAGATAGCAACTTATTCCAGTTTTTAGAACATCTGAATCATTAACAATTCTTTCAGCATTTCTCAAATCATACAACAAAAGTGTAATAGGCAGTCATCAAAGCAACCTTCAGAAACTTAAAAAGATCAAACACAGTGATTAATAGTGGTTCGGCACTTAACTCGCCTACATCCACTCCCCAACGACTGCATCTTGAAGATCCTCGAACTATGTTATCTCTTTTCAAGGTAAGCAGACCAAACCAAACCAGTACAAGGCCAATAGATCAAACACCCTAGATCTCACCCTTTATCCCACTAGAATTCTTTTCAAAAGGTTCTAGTTAACGCTCAACCCTTTCTGTCTTCTGGCGAGAGTATAGCAAACTCAAATTCAAAGAACCATTAGAATCTCACACACAGGAGAAGGCTCGCCTTGAATTTAACTCCTTTCACAAATAGCCTTCTAACCTAAGCTATTACACACAAATGTTTATCAATAAAAAGTTTATCAAATAAAAAGCCTGTCTACTATAGATTACAGAATCTAAATAGACAGAAAGAAATGCACATATAAGCACAGGAAAAATAGTTTATCAGATTATAAAATCGTTTAGAATACAGAACCGTTTTTTCAAAAGTAGTTAATCAAAATTCTTTTCTCTTTAAAGATAAAATCGTGAAGAGTAAAGATGAAAAGAAAAATGGGCGTATAGAATAAGTTTGAGAGATAAAGATTTGATCAATGAGAGAATGCTCTTCAAACGAAAACTCTTACTTCACCATCGTTCCAAGAGTGAAACATTCCTTTATATAGAGAGATATGAAGCTCTTGCTTTTGGAAAGAGAATATTTCATTTTGAAATCAGAATATCTTCTTTCCTTATTTAGAAGATACGAAAATCTTTGTTACCAAAAATTTATTTTAAGTTTCCAAAAGTTTTATTTTTATCCTTTTGGTTAAGCAGAATAAAAGACGATTTACTCTTCCTTTAAACAAGAAGATTTTTTCGGCAGCATTTTTTATTTTGCGAAAATATTTTTACGAAAAGACTGCTCTTACTAAAAAAAGATTCCTTCCTTCCCGTTTTACACGGTAAGAGAAAAAAATTGAAGTACTTTTAGACTTTTCAAGGCAATTTCTCAAAAAAGATAATGATATGCACTTTAATTACTAAATCGTTTAGAGAATAAAATCTCTCTTTAGTTTTTAAGGCAATAAAATCATCTGCGATTCTTAACAGCATACTTTTCGAAAATTAATTTCTTGAACGAAAAGAAATTATTTCTGAAGGATCTAATTTTCCGGAAAAAATATTTCTTGTTTGAGAGAAAAATCTGATTTATGGTCCTCAATATATGACTTTTTCTCATCTAATCCTACAAAGTATCCTAAAATACTAACCACTAGGGTCTTCGACATATCTTCACATACCTCATCGCCAGGACTTGGCTTTGTTCATAATCTTTCCATAAAGAAATTCCAATTCTGCATAAAATAATATTAGCACAAATATAATTTAAATTTATTTGTTTTGTTTTAATCATCAAAATCCGAGATTAGAAATTGACCGTTGAGCCAACATCTTGGACCCAGTCTCCCTACTTGAGAAGAATGAGGTGCCGACTAACTTTATTGCCTTCATTTAGTTTGCTAATGTTCCTTTGAATAATTGGTACTATGATGGAGCTCTCCTTACTATTGAGACAGATCTCCTAGAAGAGTCTTCCGAGTTAGAGTCACAGTCTAAGTTTGAGTCCGAGTCTATAAGGTCTTCTAGTGAGTCATTTGTTTCAGACCTTGAGGGTTCTATCTTCCACTATGATCTATCCTATGACCTTGATGACCTCACAATCAATAATGAATTTCAGGTTTTTACTTAATCACCTGTGTCTCCACTTTCTTTTGCATTTTCATATGATCTAGAAATGAATGGAACATTAAATAAAAAAAATAATGAAAATGAAAAGGAACAGGTTAATATTGGCACAAAAGAGGAACCCAAACATACCTTCTGTAACACCCCTTCCCGGTCCACCCGATAACCCGAATGAACCGAGTCGAGATGTTACAAACTGGTTGACTAAATGTTCTGACATGCTGATGTCATGTTACACAACTGGTTGACTTAAATGTTCCTGACATGCTGAGTCATAATGGTTACTGACTATTTATAACTATATACCGATGCTGTTTACACAATTATCAATACTGTACTGACATATGTATCATAACATGATCACGAGTGGTACAAAAATGGAAATGGGCCCAACTGTGTGCACCTGTACATGCCCATGGGAAGGAAGAAAACAAAAAATACACATCAAAACGAGAAGCTCACCCTGAAGACTGCAGTCTTCTACAGATGAACTGCTGCCACGTTGTAAGCTGCACGCTCCTTCCTAGACCACGTCCTCAAAACCTGCGAGTTAAACAGGTAACTCGCTGAGCTATACAAGGCCCAGTGCGATATCTCAACATACTCAAGTAAGCAATTAATGGCATACATGAGTACAAAGAAGCACAAAGTAACAACCAATCGTAAAACACATAAGGCAACAGATAATCACACATAATCATCTTACTTTTCATTTCTAATCTGAAGCTGATCTTTCTTGTTGTGTAATTACTACTGTATGGTTCATTTAACATATTAGTTAACAACTGTCTGTAACTGGCTTCCATAACGGTTAATACGTTGGAAACCGAAGTGATAAAGATACTGCATATGAATACTGTAGGCTATAAGGCCCCGAAAACCCGGCATTTCGCCTATGCCACTGGTCATGACCTACGTGAGATACTGTCCGCATTTGGTGCCCCTAACCGGATCTTGCACCGCCGGTTTAAACTCATATCCACTTCAAACGGCCTGTAGCCCGGAGTTTCCAAACTGTATGGGGCGCCAGATGCTGCAATTCATACTGTCTCGCCGACATAGCCCTTATCTACATTGGTTTCTAATACGTAACCTCAATGGAAGCTTACTGCATCACACTACAATCGTTAATACAACAAGCACATTGAGTGTCACAACATCATAACTCATACGTTTTATTTGATTTCCACATCAATATAATGTCTCTTACCATGTATTTTAATCCAATGTTCTTATGTTATGTTTTTCTTGTCTTTACAATGATTGGATGCATGCATGTTGAGCAGGGAATGTAATTCATAGCAAACTGAAAAGGCCAACAGAGTGCTCAAAAGCCATCAGTCCGCCGCAGCGCGACATTCCAAGCAAAGCATCAGTCGCGAGCGCGACATTCCAAGTCGCGAGTGCGAGATGCTTCCCAGAGAGAAGTCGCGAGCGCGTCTTCAAACCTCGCGAGCGCAAGAAATGCATTTGAGAGTCAGAGGGTTTTCTGGCTCAAGTCGCGACCGCGCAGCACACGTCGCGAGCGCGCTTGTGTGATTCGCGAGCGCGAGATGCGCACACTGAGAGTCAGAGAGCTTCTGGCCAAAGTTGCGACCGTGCATGTGATCCTCGCGAGCGCGAGTTGTGCAATTGAGAGTCAGAGAGCTACCTGACTCAAGTCGCGAGCGCGCAATAGGAAATCGCGAGGAAATCGCGAGCGGTCCGACCTTGCTTTCAGTAATGCGCGAAGCGCGCCGAACGCTATTCTGTGCAGTCCTGGGTGTTCTTTTGGCGCATAACTCTCATAGCTAACCTCTAAATTGAATCGATTCAAAACAATATACAACTTCAAATTGAATGATTCAAAAGCCCATGTAAAGCTAACACATAGAGAAACAAATAACTCTTCTATGACAATTCCTAATTCCATCATTTTCTGGGGTCAAAATCAAGATGAAGTTGCTGGTGAAATTTCCAGCAAAGCTCTGTTTCATAAAGTCATTCCATCCCCTGTTTTCACAACATATCCAATCTTCTCACTCAACAACAAGCACCATATCATCTCACTAGCAACACACCACACAATTTACATGCAAAGAATCTAGTAAACAACATGAGATATCAAACCTTGATGTCAAAAAGCTTGACCTCTGTTTTAGCTTCTCTTTTCTGCAGCTTTGGAACTTTCTTCTCCTATACACAAGAATTCTCATAACTCATCTCCAATAGAACTCAATTAAAGAGTGAATAACATATAACGTCAAGGAATTCTACTTACTTGGAGTGGACTTACTGCGTAACTTGCATGAAAAGTGCAAGGAAATGGAAGGGAAACGTAAGAAGAAAATGAAAAACAGGAAAATAGGAAAGTGAAAATGATAGGAACACAAATGAATAGGAACCGGGTAGACTCTAGAAGAACAGTGACTTTTGCTGTGTAACTCTCTAATTGGTACCTCAAGATACAAAGGCTACAACTTACTTACCCCAAAGCTAATATGTTGGAGGCCAAACAAGTCCTAAACTTTCCATGCAAATAAGTCCACCTTATCAAATCCATTCTACCCCAACCAGGTTTGGTTCAACCGACCTCAACTCAAGAAGGATGTTCAGTTCCTTTCCCTCCCCTTCCTAAATAAAAACTTCAAATCCCGAAGTGTTACTACATGTTGTAAACAAATGCGGATATCTGTTGTCGCATGGTTTCTTCTGATTCCCAAGTTTGCTTCTTCTGTCTTAATGATCTCCCTCCAAAGAACTTTCACCACTCTATTTTCTTGTTCCGCAATTCCTTTAGTTTCTTCTTGGCTAGGAATCTGAACTGGTTTCTTCTTCTACGGTGCAGATCCGGCTGAATTTTTGCAACTCTCGTCCTGGCTGATAACACATGTTGAGGGGTCCTGATCTGTAATCTTCTCATGGATAACATGAAATACATTAATGGGATTCGATCATAAGGTTGGAGGTATCCCGCTAGCGATAGGCTAATGGTCCTACGCGTTCCACAATCCGTATGGGACCAAACTGAACCTAGGACTTAGCTTACCTAGGACTTAGCTTACCCTTTTGTCCAAACCTTAGGATCTTCTTCCATGGTGAAACCTTCAAAAATACTTTATCCCCAACTGAATACTCAATATCCCTTCTCTTTAAATCAGCATAGGACTTCTGTCGATCACTTGCTTCCTTCAGCCGTCTTCTGATGATTTCTGCTTTCTCTTCTGTGTCTCTCACCAAATCTGGACCCAAAATCTTCTTCTCACTAAGTTCTGTCCAACATACAGGTGTTCTGCATTTTCTACCATACAATGCTTCATAGGGTATATGGTGCCATCTTGATGCTTGATTGGTAACTGTTGTTATAAGCGAATTCCATGAGAGATACATATCTGTCCCAACTGCCTTCAAATTCAATAACACATTATCTCAACATGTCTTCCAGGATTTGAATCACTCTCTCTGATTGCCCATCTGTTTGCGGATGAAATGCAGTGCTGAAATGCAGTTTCGTTCCTAATGCCTCCTGCAGTTTACCCCAGAACTTCGATGTAAACCTTGGATCACGATCAGAGATAATGGATGATGGAACTCCATGTAGTCGAACTATCTCACGAAGATAAATTTCTGCTAACTTGTCCAGAGAATAGTCCGTCTTAACTGGTAGGAAATGAGCAGACTTGCTGGTAGGAAATGAGCAGACCTTGGGTTAAATCTGTCCACACAAATTACCCATACTGGCATCCATGCCTTCTGGCTGGTTTTGAGGT